CACTATCACTATCATCATTATTACTACATATCCATTTCCATCATCATTAACATTTTCATCATTATCATCATCGTTTCCATCATCATCATTATTATCACCATCATCATCATCATTACAATTTTTATATCCTTTATTCCATCATCTTACTACCATTTCGAAAATAATGACGAAAAGATAGATAGAGAGAAACTTAGATAGATAGATAGATTACGTCATTGCTCTATTCACTGATCTACGAAGAGCAGTGACAGTCACATGACACCATATATCTGTCACCTGTTCACTCTACCTTCCATACCGTCACTGTTCACTTGTTCCACTGTTTTTTTTTAATAAAAAATGTGTTCTTTCTCCGTCTTTCATTTTTTCACTGTTCTTGGTGTTCATTTCTGTTTCATTGTTACGTAATCGATCACTGTTCACCTTTGTTCCTGGACAGTTCAAAGATCGTTGCTCATTTGTTTCACTGAATCTCTGCATCACTGACAATATTTGCTTTATATTTTCTCTTCTGGATCACTGCTCGTTAATTTTCTCTATGTACGGTTTATCTTAAAGTTAATAAAGTGTATTTGTATGGTTTAGTATGTTTTTGAATGTGTGTATGTGTATGTGTGTGCGGTTGAATGCGTGTATGTACGTCAGTGTATGTTTGAAAGTACGTTTTCGTCAGTGTATATATAATTCAGTAATTTTGTATGTGATTACGTATGGGTTTGATATAGTTTAATGATATATATACACAATGTTCATCGTTTTCATGAAATACTGAAGAAAAAAAATTCTACCTTTTGTGTTTAACTTCAAAGCCGGGAGTCAAAAGTTGAGAAAAATGTTGCCAGATTTCCAAAGACCAATTTATTTTTCCCTCCTGTTCGTTTTGTCTTCGAGAGCCGCCAAGGACAGGAAGGACAGTTGCTTTTGCACAGTTTGAGGTCACGAAGACAAATAAAGCGCCAAAGGTTGCGCGGCAGAAAGGGAAAAAATGAAATACAGCCCTGGGCAATATGGAAGACTCTGGCAACTCCTGGCTTTAAAATCGAGTTGCCACCTTTTCTATTTCTTCTTTTCACTTAATTCCTTTATTAGCTCTTCGTATTAGTGTTAATTAAATCATGCGGATGCGAATACTAAATATAAACAACAGGCTAAGTGCAAAGATAAATAAGAAAAGTTAAAAATTCCTGTGTTTACGAAAATATTTGCCTTCCGACGAATCACTAGCTAACAACCTTGACTTTTTCTTGCATGACACGACCTTGAGAGCTCATACCCCCCCCCCCCTCTCTCTCTCTCTCTCTCTCTCTCTCTCTCTCTCTCTCTCTCTCTATCTATCTCTCTCTCTCTCTCTCTATCTATCTATCTATCTATCTATCTATCTCTATATCTATATCTATATCTATATCTATCTCTCTTCTCTCTCTCTTTCTCTTCTCTCTTATCTCTCTCTCTCTCTCTCTCTCTCTCTCTCTCTCTCTCTCTCTCTCTCTCTCTCTCTCTCTCTCTCTCTCTCTCTCTCTCTCTATCCACATCACCCTTTAGACAGAGAGAGACAGAGAGAGAGAGAGAGAAAAGGAAAAAGAGAGGAGAGAAAGAAAGAGAGAGACAGATAGAGAGGGAGAGAGAGAGAGAGAGAGAGAGAGAGAGAGAGAGAGAGAGAGAGAGAGAGACGAGAGAGAGAGAGAGAGAGAGAGAGGGAAAGAGAGAAGAGAGAGGAAGAGAGAGAGAGGAGAGAGAGACGAGAGAGAGCGAGAGAGAGAGAGAGAGAGAGAGAGAGAAAGAGAGAAAGAGAAAGAGACAGACATAGATAAGCGCTCTCAAAGTCGCGTCATGTAAGAAAAAGTCAACTCTCAACTCTCAACTCTGAAATCCGCGCCGGGCCGAGAAACAGAGCGCCGGGCGAGGGGGGGAGGGGAGGGGAGCGGGCCTTCACCCCGGCTAGTCACAAGGTTCGCCCGGTAGCTTTCGAGGGGAGGAAGAGGGAGGGAAGGAAGGGGAGGGAAGAGGGAGGGAAGGGGGAGGATGGGAGAGTCTTTGGGGGAGGGAAGGGAAGGGGGAGGGAAGGAAGAGGGAGGGAAGGAAGAGGAGGGAAGTCTTAGGGGGAGGGAAGAAGGAGGGAAGGAAGGGGGAGGATGGGAGAGTCTTAGGGGGAGGGAAGGGAAGAGGGAGGGAAGGAAGAGGAGGGAAGAAGGAGGATGGAAGTCTTAGGGGGAGGGAAGGAAGGGGAGGGAAGGGGGAGGATGGGAGAGTCTTACGGGGAGGGAAGGGAAGAGGGAGGGAAGGAGGGTAAAAGGAGAGATGGTAGGAAGAAGGTATACGGAAAGGAGGGAGGGTAGGTAGGGGGGAAAGGAGGAAAGGAGGGCGAGAGAAAGGAGGGAAGGAGGGAGGGGAGATAGCGAAAGGGTGAGGAAAGGAGGGAGGGAGTGAGGGAGAGACAGTCGAAGCGAAGGAGGGAAAGAGGGAGGAAGGATGAAAAAGAAGAAGAGAGGGATGGGAGGTTCGGAAAGAGAAAGAAAGAGAGATAGAGAGATAGAGAAGTTAGATAGATAGAGAGAGAGAGAGAGAGAGACGCAGCTAAACAGGCACACGAGAGTGAAACAAAGGAGATAGAAGACACACACAAAACCACACACGACCGCATCACCAAAACCTTCACAAACACAAACATCCTTTCCCCCTCCTCTCATCGCCACCACCCCCTCCCCCCCTCCCCCTCCCCCCCATCTGACCCCCCCTACCTTCCCTTTCCCATTCCCCTTCTGACTCCCTCCCCTCCCCTTCTCCCCCCTTCTCCCCCCTCCCTTCCCCTACTTTCTTAGCCCCCTTCTTTAATCACCTATAACCCCCCCCCCCCACACTTTACTTACCCCCATCTCCACACCTCCCCCCTTTTAACCACCTCCACCCCCTCCCTCCCTTCTTACCCTCCTCTAAACAACCCCCACCCCCTCCCTCCACCCCCTCCTTCCCTTCCTACCCCTCCTCTAAACATCCCCTTCCCCCCTCCCCTCCCCCCTCCCATTCCCTCCCATCCTACCCTCTAAACAACCCC